ATTTTGCATATTTGTGCATATCTTGTCATAAATGCATATTTTTGCATAAGTGGGTTGTAATTGCATATTTTGTTACATATCCGGCATATCGGTATTCGACACGTCAAATTTTAATGTTTCTGAGCATTATGGATTTATGGAAATATTACGACCTCAGTTCTCTTCTTTCCCTACCATTATACTTCTCAGCTTTACCCAGTATCTCATGCGTTTTCCATCGTGAAACATTATTTGTGTGCTGTGAACTGAATGCTACTAAAATACCGAAAGTCACCGCATAGACGAAAGATCTTTTTCAAAAGTATGTGCGTGATAAGGGCGATGCAGACGTTTTATACTGTGCTTGCTGTGACAAAACTGTATCAACTATACGTTTTTTTGAAACACAGCACATAAGGCAGCAAAACGCAAGGAAAACAAAGGTAGGAAGTGTCAACAAACCTTTCTGACCGAACTTGCCCCAAGCGCTGGGTCTGGAAAGTCCGATTTCGATATCGATTTATGTCGTGCTTTAATTAGGGCTGACATACGAATCCATAACCTAAACCACCCTGAGTTCAAGGGGTTTTCGGAGAAATACACAGGGAAAGCCATTCCCCACGAAAGTACCCTCAGAAAATCTCACCTGAATTTTATATACAATGAAACTCTCCATAAAATCCATTGAAGATGGGCCGATCAGGGTCTCAATAGATGGGACTACCGAATTGTGAAGGCAAATTTATGGTTGTTGGTTTCGCGGAGACCAATAAACGTAATAAAGTCAATGCATTTTTTTCGGCCGATAGTTTGGTTGACCAGTCCATAACACACTCAGAATTGCACTCTAAGGTCGAACAAGTTCGTCAAACAGGTGCCAACTGCAGCAGGGGTTTTATAGTTTCTATGAAGTCTGCATGAACACACGCAAAATAAGGTCAATCAAAGTTTGGGAAGTCTAGACATGGTGATATAGTCGATTTAGGTCTCACAATAAGACAAGTATAGTCGAAAATGCCCTGAGACATTCACCCACCCGAGAGATTCTCCGAATAGGATAAGGATGGCGTCCGGCCATGTGGTACTTCCCTGTACTAACATCCGAGAACCTTGTCAGATGGAAGATGACCTCTCTTGAGCGGGAACTGTACTGCAGAGCTAAAACTGATCTCCACAAAGTTTGAACGGCCATATCCGTACTTTCAGTGGCAGAGGCTACACATTTTTCTGAACGCGCCCTACATCAAAATAAGCCCCTGATAATATTATCTTATATGAAAGAAGACCTTCAAATACAGTAACACGCGGCTCCGCTCGTGTTCGAAATGACTAATATGTCTCAGCAGGTCAAGAGTATATTGTGCAGTTAGGTAACATTTCATTAAACAATTTAAAATGGTTATCAATTGTAAATTTCCAGTTCATTCAAGCATAAAAGGTGGAATGAAATATTATTCTGTGGAAAAGAAACGCAGGAGGTAAAGAAAGTCGAAGTTTAACTTTTTCTCGGGTAAAAATAAGAGGCGTTTATTCCAAATCGTCCTGGTCGTTCTTCCGGGATTCCGAAGCAATGCAGCACAAAGAGCTTCCTCAAAATGTATTCAACCGCATGAAGATAACGGTTTCCACATGGGAGGACGGGGTTATTTTGTTCATTGTCTCTACTCGTTTGCAGAAATCCCGGGGTGGACGTATTGTCAAGTTAAACGAAAATCGATTACTCACATGAGTGTTTTGTTATATATATTTTGAATTTATTTCCAACTTTACTTTCAAATGGAAAATGTGTCTTAAAAATTTATTTTAATTTGATATATACTATGTTTATAATCCAATGACGGTGCTTAGAAAAAGAGCTCATATTTATGGAAAATTTATCAATATATTGAGTTTCATTTTTTCGTTCTTTCCTCACCTACTATCTCATATTTTGCAGTTATCTCACTGACATGTTTTTCCACAATTTCCTTTCAGAATATTTCACTATCAATGCTGGGGTTCCTCAGGTTAGTCTGTTGGTTCCCAGACTATACCAGGTTTATACAACAAATATTTCGTCACATCTTCAAACCACCACACTCACATTGCCAAACCATTTAACAACACCTCACACTAGTGTAGTGGTTTAAACAATTTGAAAAAATCAACAATTTAACACAGACCACTCCACTTTATTCTCCGTAAAGCGTTCTCCCCTCCAGGCTACTTTTAATAATATTTCCCTCCTTACTGCGGACAAGATGCTGTAGCTAGGACTGAACATCGATAAATGCCTGACATTGAATCCTCGCACACTACTGAAACGTCAGGAGGTTTTGAAACGATAGAGAGCTCTTGCACGACTTCTTTTCACTAAAGTTCTGATTTATCTCTCAAAAATAAAAGGATGTTTTACACCACCAAGTTTGGGGTTCAGGCAAACATTCGAACATACACCGCAAAGTGCGCAATTCTTCATCTTAAGAAAACCTTTTGATCCTTTATTTTGTGTATCGAACAAAACTACACGTACAGACTTAAAAATTCCTTTTGTACAAACTGCAATCCGTTCCTGTTATAGTAAATTGGACAAAACCCTCCCAACCACCGTAAATCAACACATCAAAGAAGTTGTAAAGAATTCCCTTCAACACTCCCCGCCGACTGAAGAAATGATGGCCTAAAAGAGGCGCGAACTACTACTAAGTGATAGTGAAAGAGATATTGATACAAGCATTAATTAAAGAGACAGTATTTGAGCATCATTGGTGTACTACCTATGCATATTTTTTCTACCTTTCTCTTTAATTTTGCAAATATTTACTATCTGATTGTTGTTACATGTTACCAAATTGAAAGAATTTTCATGAACAAAATCACAAAAGATCGAAATAAAGGTAATTAAAATGTGCTTCATGTTTATTAAAAAAAATAAAAAATAAGTTCACAGTCTCAAAACCTTGATCTGTGAGTGGTAGTAGTTGTATATACATATAAAAAATTGGGTATTCATACAAGTTACGTACAATTGCCAGGTGTTCTTTATAGAAGGCCCGGCAGTTGTATTCTTGCACAAAAAAATGTATTTAACATTTTTTTGGCGTGTGTGTGTGGTGTTTAGTGACCGTTAGTCAATGATTATTTGGAGGTGAGATGCGGTCTGGTGTCACGTAGATTTTAGAAAAACTTTTTTTTTACCGTGCAAATGTTTCGATCTTTATTGAAACCATCTTCAGGGCCTGGGATTTATAAACATTGTTTAAATTTTACAAATACATGTAGGATGTGGAAAATAAATTTCTAGCATTTCTGAATTTTTTTTTAAATCGAGATGCGGTCTGGTGCGACGTAGGTTTTAGAAAAACATTTTTTTATCGTGCCAACGTTTCGATCTTTATTGAGATCATCTTCAGAGGCCTGGGATTTATAAACATTGTTTAAATTTCACAAATGCTAGAATTTTTTTTCCACATCTCACATGTATTTGTAAAATTTAAACAATGTTTATAAATCCCAGGCCCTGAAGATGGTTTCAATAAAGATGGAAACATTGGCACGGTAAAAAAAAAGTTTTTCTAGAATCTACGTCACACCAGACCGCATCTCACGTTCTCCAAATAATCATATTTTTAGTCTAGTTTCACTTCCAATTCAAAATACCGCCCTATACATACTGACAAATCATTTTAAATATTTTTTACACTGAAAACAATGTTGCAATCAAATTTTAAATTGGTCAAAAAATGACAATGTTATGGCAAAAATTTGATAAAAAGCATTTTGTTCGTTCCTTTTTAATTCTAATAATTTTCTCCTTCACTAAAGTCAAAATGGGATTATGAGAGGAAATCTTAATTCTCGTATATAAATAAATGATACAAAAGTGCCTATCCGCTACATACAGTATTTCATTTCTATGAACCGAAGATCACATTTTTTCGATCAAAAGCCAGTTGATATTTACTTTATCTATAATTTAGTAAAATTTGAAACTAGACTAAAAAATATTATATTAAATTTTATTAAATATTTTACTAAACTGTCAACTGACTTCGAGATGAAATCCTTTATACCGAGGCATTTTGTATATTTGTTTTTACTTTCAGGGATTAAGATTTCCTAATTAATTTACTAACCTTTCTATGTATCTGCTAAAAAATTATTTTTGGATTCCAGACAATTTCACCGCAATCTATGGACGAGAGTAATGGCGTATTACTTTTAACACTTTTTATTTTGTTAACACTGCTCTGCTTGCAATTAAAATACAAGCGTTATCGAAAAACTCAAAAATACCTATTTAATATTTTCCAGTCTAGTTTTTAATTTTTACTGCTGTTAAAAAAGTAATTTATGTCAGAATACATCAGAGCTAGTACATCTTTGAAATTTTAAATAAGAACGTATACTTTTTACTCAGTTTTAAAGGGGTGTTTACACTAAAATGTATGGCTCAATGATATTTTGAATGGGTCAAGGAATGGCTATGGCACAGAATGTGAACAATTTGGTGATGACATAGATAATTGATTCTGGACTTTTTCAATGCCCACTTTCGAAAATTACATCGATTGAGAATACCATTTGTGGTGAAATTAGATTCATCAATCCACAGGATTTTCTTCTGTATCCCAAATCGAAATCTCTGAAAGGAACATTGAGCGTCTATCAAAATCAATATAAATCAAACATAATTAAAAAATGATCTTGTTTACTTTAATTTCAATTTTCTTTATTTAGAACCTAAAACTGGATCATAATTAATTATGATGGTACGTAATGAATTATTAAAAGAGATGTTAATTAATGAATTGGAACATTTTAATTTAAATTTATTCTTTTGCTTATTTTAACGGTTATTTTAAAATTTGTCCGTGACACATTTAAATAGAACATTAGTTTTTTAATTGTCTTGTGATTTGATGTTTATTCCAATTAACTACAACTATGACATCACTAAACAATCTCTTTGCAAAATGACTAATGATGATAAAAAAGGTATTAAATTACATCTCAATACGACGGAAAGGTTTAAATACTCTTCTAATGAGATAGAGCACCATTAAAAGAATGGAAGTTGTCAACAATGAAACCCTATTTGCTACTCGTTTTTATTTTTTGGCCGGTATTTTGCCAAAGTGCGATAAGGTGAGTTAATTTTATTTCGATGCATTAGCACCACTGACTTTTGTTTACGATCAGGATTCCTCTCAAAAAATTTCCAACAGAACACAACCGCATTTCTTCATATAAAGAACATAGTAAATGGAAACGAGAAGAGCCTGGAAAGAACAAATTGGTGCATATTTATGATGTATGAAGTATATATTTATAATTAGACAGTTTTCGTCAAAAGGTAAGAGGTGGAAATATGTCGTTTTTCAGAAACAATGCGCGAACTTCTTTGCCCTTCAAGGTAATATTTTACAAAAATTCGATTACAGTAATTAATTTATATAACGTTGTAAAATTGTTAACTACCTCTTTCCTTATGTTTATTTGTGTTTTTTTCGAATTTTTCTTAAGATTGCATTAACAAAAAATATATTATATTTCAGCCTGCAACATATGGGTTAGTCGGCGTTGGTACACCGATACAATTTATCCCCATACTGTTTGATACATTTTCAAACGAAATTTGGTTGTTCAATAATGAATGTACTTCAGAAATATGCCGTAAGTGTTTTCCTTTAATCGACTTGGTGAACATAAATTTGTAATTATTCGGAGATCGTGAGATGCGGTCTGGTGTGTCGTAGGTTTTAGAAAAACATTTTCTTTATCGTGCCAACGTTTATTACCCTAATACCCTAAACACATAATCAACAGAATAATCAGCAACTACAACCCAATACTAACACCATCTACTATTACTAATAATAAATAGTACATCAAATCTATCAAATACACCAGTAACAAATAAACCTGACGCAATTTACAAAATAAATAGTTTAAATTGTCCGGCAACTTACATCGATATTACATCCCGATATCTGGATAAGAGAGAAAAGCTACATATCTATGATTGCAAAAAACCCAAAGAAAATCCTACAGCACTGGCTACCCAACATTTTGAACACAATTACATCAATTACAAAACTGACACATGTAAACTCCGTCGCAGCTACGCCAATATCATTAATAAAATTCAATACCCATAACATACATATATCATCACATCACACAAAACGTATAATGTAACGTATAAAACAGTCATCAGTTGGAATAAATACCCACGTTTGTTCCTACTGTCGGCTCCTTTCACCTCAAAGAAGCCGACTCCTCATATGCAAATGTTTTTCTTTCTCCACTGCCTTCCCCACCCCTCAGGAAAATCCAACGTATATAACTATAAAACATAAAACCATAATATCTCACTGGCACTCTCAACACGACACACAAGAATGACACATCTACACAGAAAACAATTTCATTGAGTTCAAATACCTTGATTGAATATAAAAAATTTTTTTTGTATAAATTCATTTTTTTCATATCCTACATATATTTGTTAAATTTAAACAATGTTTGTAAATCCCAGACCCTGAAGATGATCTCAATAAATATCGAAACGTTGGCTCGATAAAAAAAATGTTTTTCTAATACCTACGTCACACCAGACCGCATCTCACGATGTCCAAATAATCATTGTCTAACAGTCACTAAACACCACACATTGGAAAAGATTTTTTACTCTAAAAACAATGGTGCAATCGGATTTTACATTGGTCAAAAAATCACAAAGGTATGGCAAAAAGTATGAAAAAATGCATTTTGTTTGTTTCGTTGTTAATTCCAATTACTTCTTCTCCAAAGTAATTAATTGCCTATATTATTTACATTCTGTCTGTTTTTATCAAACTCTCATTATGATAGCAAATTTAAATACTTGATTTTTCCACTGAACAGCGAGTTGATATGTACGAACTGAACACCGCACATAAATTTGTAATTTTAATGTAATGTAAACATTATTGTTCTAACAAAAATCAATAAAACCTAATAAGTACTAATATATTTTCTTTGATTTAAGTCATTACCAAACCGTACAACCCTTCGAGTTCAAATACAAGCAAAATCTGGAGGATTGAATATAAACAAAGTTACAAAAACCTTAATATGTATGGACAGTACACCGTTGACACATTCCTTGTAAGGCTAATCTTCACATTTCTTGTAATCGTAAGTTGTTTATAAAAAGTTTGAAATTAATTATTTCGCAGCTGGGAGATTTTATATTAGATAAATTAGAATTCGTAAATATCCGACGTATCGAATGGAAAGGCACAGTGGAAAGATTAAGCTTGGAAACTTTTGCTGGCCAAATAACACTTAGATTTCCCGCAAAAACTAGAGGTACTGACTTTATGGCAAAATTGTTCTCACGCGATCTCATTGAGGGAAAGTCTTTTGGACTAAGACTACCAAGGTAAAGCGAAATTTAAAAAATATATATACATTTATAAAATACGTCCTTTTTCATTTGGGAATCGCGGTGCCGAGTGGTCAGAACGCCAGATTCATTCCAATTTGCTAAGGTTGCCGTCTCAGGTTCAAATCCCCCGGAGTAGCTCATAGATTTTTAATTGTGAATAATATGAAGAAGGTAATAGAAAGCGGTTTGATCCTATGTCCGCGACATCAAACGGGTAGTTGGGTCTTAAGCTTTCCTGTATGACAGGAATTCCATTACTTTACATACTTTTTCATTATTTTTTGCTACACCATCATGTAATTTGGTCGTTAACTAATGCTTATTAAGTGTATGCAATTACGCCTTTTTTCACGTCACCAAGTCGACATGGTTATTTTACTTTTACTTTTAAATACCGGTTTTTATATAATACTTGTACGGTTGTACATGAAAAAATCCCTACTCTTTTTTCATTTTGGACACTATTTGATAGAAATCGTTATCAGCTGAGGGATGAAGGTAGCATTATAAGATTTCCCACTTACTAAATCATATTGTTCTACTAATAAGTATGCTGTTCTCTAAAGTTAGATGCAAATTGTCGAGAGCAATTTTAAGGAATGGTTAGGGATGGCCAGGGCTCTCTTGGTAAAATATGTCGAAATTTAGCAAAAAATTGAGTGAGAGAGTGAGTGAGAGGTGGATTGACGAGATTGTGAAGAAAAGTGGGAGAGAAAGGTGGTTCGATGACGATGAGGACGGTATTGGAAGGGTGTGGGAGGTGTCGTCAATTTACTACCAGGTGTCTGTTACACAATGGATTCAACCTCAGCCCAATAGATGCCGTGAGGATCCAATTAAAGCTATTAAAATAAAAATTTAAAACAAAGCCCGAGAAGGAAATACTTTTCACAACGCCTGGGGAGAGTATAAACCCGACGAGTCAACTAGTCACTGGGTGTGAGGAGCGTCCAATTCCAAAGGAAATGACTTGTCGCTAAATCCGAAAAAGTTAAAATGTTGTATTCTCACTGTACAGGCTGCTGTAGGTACTTCGGTACGAACAGTACTGAGAGGATAAGTAGACCTGGAATATTTAGTACCGTCAACAGCTTCATCACCAAATAGGGCACGAAGAAATTTCACAATTCAATAAAACATGTAGTACACGCACTAATAACATATTCATAACATCTCATATAAATTTTTACAAAATTGTCTTTTTCAAAATATGAATGAATTATATCTCTGAGATCAGGCTTATGTTTAGATTAAGATTTTTGTAATAGGCTAAAGTGCTTTATGACGACCAAATGTCCTGGGTCCAAAATGTAGGAATATTGTGCTTATCACATGGCTTTACATTAGCTTCCAAAACACTGATTAGTTGCTCAGTTATATTTAAAGGATTTAGCGAGGGAAAACTTTCCCCTTGACGGGTTTGCTCCTCTATTAGGCCGTACCTACTTAAGCTACTTCAAAATTTATAAATATTTCCGCAAGTACAGTTAACAGTCCTTGGTGATTCTTGGTTTTACGGTTGTGAAGTACCATGTTTGTAGTAAGTTTCAAGGCGAAAGGCTGTTTAGGCAAATAGCCCTTTTTACCGCGCCTACTTACTACTGTGTCTATTCTCTTCCTCTTCGTAAGGGTTATAGCTCACCCCCAAGTTAAGGTTTTATGTTATCTACAATAGCCTTGATACAATCTTATATTTACTTGGTATGCTGCGAAATCTACTCTTTATCAGGCCGTATCTTATAACCATGTCACGACTTTCCTGACTACCAACCCGGTAGCTCGATGGAGCAGTTTGTTGTGGGCGGTGCCAATAAATATACAAATTATTCCAGGGAATAGTGACTTAAGAAATAGTTGATCTCCTGAACTTGGGCTTCATTCCAGCTGTTGAACTTTCTGAATCCCGGCTGCTCGCGTCTTCTGCTTCTTGCCCTCGTTCAACCTCGCCGAGATATTTTCCCCCTCATTTTCTACATGAACCATCGTTTTTTCCTCTTCTTGGCTGAAACTTCAAATTTCCTACCACGTCCAAATTTTTAAAATTCGTCATTGTCCAATTAACCTTGCTGTAGTAACTTGAATCATGTTTTTTGCCTATCAGTATTGAAGGATGCTGTGCTGCCAAGTATGAATCTTTACCTTAATTGATTCAGCATTGCTTCGTTTTATGTCAGTTTCAAACATTACAGTAGGATTCTGGTTCTACTGTTGTACCTGAGGAATCGTCCGTGACTAGTTTATTCCCTATCAAATATTTTTACCCGCCTTTCTCCAATTGTTCTCCAACTTTTCCTAAAAATTACTAGTAGATCAATAACTATTGAAATACCAAGTATATATAATTTTTCATACAATAACATTGGATTGTTTTAGTTTCAATGATGGAGATGGGCGAGGTGAACTTATTATAGGAGATTGGGATCGTCAGTACGTGAACGAAAGTTTAATTGATTGGATTAAAGTGATATCAGATTCTTACTGGGAGATTATCGCTGATAAGTATATACGATACATCGTTGATCATAATTTGTACTATTTGTAGTATAATTATATATGTGTTGATTTAGATTGGTATATGGTAGTTACGGCCTTGCGGAACAAGCCGATATGGTCGTCGACACTGGATTGTCGATTATAGTTGGACCGCAAGTTATCGTTAATAATTTGTTTAAATCCATTGGTAATTCTGTAAATATCATACCAATAACGATCACATCGTTTTTGTCAGATTACGATGGCTATGCGGCGAAATGTTCTGAATCTCTTTCAAATTTCGATTTCCTCATAAATGATAGGCATTACGTACTAATGCCGAAGGACTATCTACTACCGGCAAGTATTAATAGTGCATGCAGCACATATTTCTTTTCACAATTGCAGCAATCTTAGCATAACGATAATTAAAACTTTCAGATAGAAGGAAAGGAAGGTTGGTGCGCATTTGGTATAGCAATGGCGAATAACAATTACACGAGAAGCTGGAGATTAGGAGATGTATTTTTGTCCAAATATTATACCGTGTGTGATGGAAATCTTTCCCGCTTGTCTTTCAATGATTATGTCAGTTAATACGTTATTGCGTTTTCTCCACTTATTTAAAAATTGTGATAAAATAAATTGTACTATGATATTTTTATATATTCGTTATTAACATTTTCAGTTGGCACGTAACAATCAAACGCGTTTTTCTGCAGGAAATTTTGTTTCGTTATTAGAAATATAACATTATAACATTTTGCAATTATGTTTATTTAAACCTCAAACTCTTTGGGTTTGTTATTTCAGATTTAATGTAATGTAAAAGTTTAGTATTTCTCAATGTGGATTTGTAATATTGAAGACGTGTTAATGTGTCGGTGAGCAGGATCGGCAGAGTTTCTCATGCATCAAGAGCACTGTCTATAGGTGGCCATCGGAGGATCTGACACGTAGGTCATCCTGATCGTATGCGAGGTTGACGCAGGGGCACTTCCTTTTGGGTCAAAGCCCGCGTAAGTTTTCGGCGAGAATATTTGCTTGATCAGTACCATCTAACTGAAGGGTGAAATCCCTTGGCTCCATATACAGAGTGGAATGACACCCGACGTGAGAATTGTGCTTGAGTGTGTGGGTCTCTGTTCCGATTCTTGTAGGAAACAGCGTTATTTTATTGTATCGAATAGTCTGATAGTTCTGTGCCCTTAGAGTGTGGTGAAAGTGAGTGTTTTATTAGCGTGAATGTATAGTGTACCCCATCAACTCTCAATTAGGTGAATTATATAAGAGTTGATGGAGGAAATTTGGTAAACCACAACTCTTGAGTGAATAGAATGTAAATTAAAAAAAAAAGATATATTTAAGAATGAATTATGAATGGATTTTGATTTTTTTTATTACTAAATGTACACTATGTAATGAAGTTTATAATAATTATTCATATCTTGGGTGATTTACAATCTAACTTATACATGATATCCACCTATAAGAGATTCATGTCCTCCTTATCTTAAAGCATTGATCCGCACCAGTTCAATTACAAAATCACAACATTCTACTTCTTGTCGACGGCCTCTGCTTCTACGATTCGGGTAAGGATCTGGCGGAGGTCGGCGGTAGGATGCAGTCGGCGATAAACGATGTGGCTGCCGAGGAAACCGGGTTTACCTTTTCCACTTCGAAAACGGTATGTGTTCACTTTTGCAGATCGAGGAGGGCCCATAGCCCCCCTTAGCTCTGCTTGGGGGCACACCTGTGCGGTACGTGGAGAGGGTGCGGTTTCTCGGCCTCCTGTTTGAGGAGAAGTTGAGATGGCAGGCACACATCGACGCCGTCAAGGTCCAGAGCAGGAAAACCCTTTCATTGTTGAGATTTGTTGGTCACTTTAGGTGGGGAGCGGACAGGGAGATTCTGTTAAAAATGTGTGACTCGCTGCTTTGTTCGAGGATCAGTTATGGATGTATGGCTTATTCCTCGGCCCGAAAAACGCGCCTGAGAAAGGCTATATTATCAAGGTCTCAGAGCGGGGTCGTTCAGGACCAGCCCCTCGGCCAGTCTGTGCTGCGAGCTGGAGGTCTTGCATCCCGAACTTCGGAGAGAGCAACTTACCTTCGATTACGCGGCCGGGTTCTTGGCCAAGCCGGAGCACCCCCTCGCTATGAAAATCCTCCACCGCCCGTACAGAGTAGACTACGACAGGCTTCGCTCAAGGACGCGACCCCTCGGTATTCGCTTCGGTCAGTCCTTAGGGAGGGCCGGATTGGCGCTGGGAATGGTGCTTCCGTTGGGCCACCAGCCGACACCCCCCTGGACTTTTCCGGCCGTACTCGTCCGCGACGATCTGGCGAACTTGTCCAAATCGTGTACGCCGCCATACCTCTACAAGGCTAAGTTCCTAGAACTTAGAAATAGATACGCCGTTTTTCGTATGATTTTTACAGACGGGTCCAAGACTGACGATGGTGTGGCGTGTGCTGTGTATAGCGAGGGAGCGGCCACCTTCTGGTCGTTGCCCCCTCATTGCAGAGCTGTATGCGATTTGGCACGCTCTCGAGGCGGTGCGGACTGAGGAGGGCTAGGCCTTCCTCGTATGTACCGACTCTCTGAGCGCTGTCAGGACTATACGCGACAGGTTCTCTGTGGACCCACTCGTCGTGCTCTTGTTAGAGAAATACGTGGAGCTGGAGCCTCTCGGAAAAACGGTGGTTGTTGTCTGGATTCCTGGAAACGTCGGCCTGGAGGGTAACGAACGCGCGGACGAGGAGGCGAAAGCCGGTACGTCCCACCCTCCGGATCGGACCATCGCGATCAGGCCCTTTGACGCTAAACTCGCAGTTAAAAATATGATAAAAGAAAGATGGCAGCGTCAGTGGGCGGGGTCGTCGGAGAGGCTCTTGCGAGTCAAGAGCACAACCGGTAGATGGCCCTCAGAGAGCCTGAGCAGGAGTCGAGGGATCATCCTCACTCGACTGAGGATTGGTCATACGCGGTTGACACATGGGCACCTGCTTTTGGGCCAAAGCCCGCGCAAGTGCCCCTTATGCAGAGGAAGGTTGCTCGCTGTGTCCTACATAATAGAGGCGTGTCATGCCTTGGCTCCATACGGAGAGCGTGTAAGCATGCAGCCGGACTTAAGAAGAGTTCTCGAACACGGTAGCAAGTTTCAGAGTCCCCTGTTACGCTTTTTATGGGAATTGGTTTTTTTTATTGTATATAATATGTATTATGTGTTGTGTATATATGTTCTGTCTGAGTGCATGTATTTATTAGCGTGAATGGCGAAGGGTGAGGGTGAAATATAACATCATCACCGCCCCTCGAACGTTGAGAACGTATGAGTGTGTGTGTTCGGGGTCGATGGCGGAATATTTATAAAAGTATTTCATCGACCCCAATCTAGATTAGTTTGAATATAGGTCGGTGGAGGAATATCACGTAGTCCACCGACCAAACGGAATGAGTGTACTTATGGATGTATTTATGTTCATGAATGTATTTATTTGTATGAATGTAGTGTTTGAAAGGGTAAATAGAATATAGACAAAGTTGGAGGCTGAAATGACCTAGATGTCGGAAGCCCCANCAAACTGAATTGACTGTTAAGAGCGTCTACTAGCGGCATGAGAGAGAGAGAGAGAGAGAGAGAGAGAGTGAGGATTAGTGATAGAAATCCCATGTCACCATTTTCACAAAATACGTTAAAATTTCTCGTGAAAAAGTTTTTTTGAAATTTTTTTTATGAGAACGTTTCAATTAAAAAGGTATGTGAACACTCTCGGGGTGACGGTGTTTAATGGTTAAGTATGTCAATTAAAACTTGTACCTTGTCCTTTCTACTGGGATAAGTCGCCGTGTCAACGCCTTCATGTTGCAAGCCCTGTGTACTTTTTTTTCTACCTTTCTATCCATAAATAAGCTCTCCCAAAAGGATTATAGATGAAGACGGCAATGCAAATAATGCGCAATGAATTTTGAAAAATGGTCTCGGTTTTAATGAATGGACAGTGATGGATAGCGCAGATCCCGGACCAGATAGATAAGTAAAGGGCTGGTAAATGGACTGGATCCAAGAATACACAAGGGTTCATATTTCACCATAACTTTCGACTACTCTCTCATTCACTGCTTTTTACCTCATTCCATCTGTGATACTGTTGAATTTGGAAAATTTGTCATTGAAGACCCTCGTATTTTTATTCCGACTGATACTGAGTTGGCTGTTTCGTTAGTTCCATCCTTCGTCTTACAAAACTTTAAATAAAGATAAAAACTAAACAAGAAATTTGCTTGTAAAGTACTGTTTGAATTTTTTCCTATTATTTTTAGCACAGATCAAATGGAAATATTTGTAAACTTAAAAATACACATATGAATATGAGTTAACAACATTATTGTTTTTAACTTCAAATAATCCAATTTGATTGTTTCTGGAGACAAAATAAGCTTTTCGTTGTTTCTTCCAGCCCCTGTGCCTTCCTGGATGGCTCCCTGGGCGAGTGCCTTCGGCAACGGGGACACAATCTTTTTCTTGCATTTTGATGACTGGCTAATGCAGACTGACACAACCAAAAAATGTTATTATTAATTCCAGGCTCAACTCTAATAGCCAATTATTGAACCTTAGTAGTAATGTTTTTGTAGATTTTCAAGATGACCACATGATACCGGTAAGGCATAAATTAATCGTAAGGTGATCGTGAATCTAGATGTTTAAACTAAACCATTCACTCTTTTGCAGGCGTCAGTTTATTTTATGATAGTTTTCATACTTATCATTTATGTTGGCATTCTATCTTAAAGATTCCGATAGGGATATTTAATAGTGAATTGGTGGTTCATGCGTAGTGACGTGCGATACCAATCGATATGAGTAAAGTATCGACTATTTTCTTTGAATACCGAGTACATTTGGGATCGAATATTGTCATTCGATACAAGTGCTGTATCGAATACTTAGCATCGGAAAAATACTCAAATAAATTTTTAATCGTATATTCAAGTAATAATGAATTGTTATTTGCCGTTCGAAACTTACCTCTCATCAAACTGAATTGACTGTTAAGAGCGTCTACTAGCGGCATGTGCAAAAAAGTTAATCTAGATTTTTTGTTGTTCATTGGTAAGTCTGCTTATAATTCTGGTAACACATAATTTTTTCCCGCGTCGCACTTCGCACTTTCAACTTCAGTAAATTCTTACAAAATGATTTTGTCTTCAAGTCCCTAAAATGTGTTCGTCTTCCTTCTCGTAGGTAGATACATAATCATGTCTCCTTCCAAAAGTAGAGGATGAGATTATTTTACTAAGAAAACTGAATCTTCGGCATCTTGTAAACTCTGGGGAATACAGTAGGAAATACGTCTTACACCGTTGATCAATTTTCTCAAAACCCGATAACGATAAAATTGAAATATCAATTATGTTGAAATGAGTTGGCAGCTTTTCCTTGTTCTTACCTACGTACCCACTGTATGAAAAAATACTTAAAACCGAAAAAAAACTGCAATTTCTTGATTATATTAACGTAAGAGTATTTTAACCAAAGTCCTCAATAGTAAGTTGATCATTTATGAATAAACGAAAAAGTACCCATATGAGCAAGTACTCGTTATTTTCGAATAATGTCTGTCGATTCTTGAGTAGTATCGAATATTTCTTTCGAGTACTTACGAGAATATTTTCTGGTATCGCACGTCACTATTCCTGGGACCCCAATACATTGTCCGTCTTAATTCGCGGGTTTGTTGAATATCTCAAACACGTTTC